CCTGGGGACACGGGACAGGGTCCCGCTGTCCCTTTGTGGGGTCCTGTCCCCAAGGAAGGGATCCTGATGTCCTTTAATGGGGTCCTGCCCTATGGAAAGGGGTCCCAGTGTCCCTTTTTGGGTCATGCTGTCTCTTTATGGGGTCTCAGTGTCCCTTTTTTGGGGTCTCAGCATCTCTTTTTGGGGTCCCAGTGTCCCTCTATGGGGTCCTGCTGTCTCTTTATGGGGTCTCAGTGTCCCTTTTTTGGGGTCTCAGCATCTCTTTTTGGGGTCCCAGTGTCCCTCTATGGGGTCCCAGTGTTCCATAGTTTTGGGGTCCCAGTGTCCCAGTGTTTTGGGGTCCTGTCCTGTGGGATCCCCTCAGAAAATCCTTCCCAACCTTTCAGGGCAGCGCAACTTCCCCCTGTTATCCCTTCGATATTTTGGGAAAAATCCAGGGGGATTTTTGGAGCCTCTTCCCAAATCCAGAGGATCCCCAATCTAGAGGATTCCAAATCCAAGGGATCCCAAATCCAGGGGTTTTGTTCCTTTTTGTTCCGGGTTTTTGGGATCGCTCCGGGCATTCCCAGACTGGTCAGACCGGTTTGGGATCATCGGAATTCCCTTTCCCTGGGCAGGATTTGGGGTTTCACCTTTTCCCTGCGGCTTTTTGGGGCCAGGGAGGGAATTCCCTGGGGGAATGTGTGGGATTGAAGTCGGGGCGAATTCCTCGGGGCGGGAATTTCGGGGTGAAATCCGGGATGGAATTCAGGGCAAGCCCAGAGTGACCCCAAACCCCGCAGGGATTTTGGTGTCCAGGGAATGGGATCGTTCCCGGCTATCCCAAAGGAATGGGATCATTCCTGGTTATCCTGAGGAGTGGGATCGTTCCCGGTTATCCCAGGGAATGGGATCATTCCCGGTTATTCCGAGGGTATGGGATCATTCTTGGCTATCCTGAGGAACAGGATCATTCCCGGTTATCCCAAAGGAACGGGATCATTCCCAATTCCCGGTTATCCTGAGGAACGCGATCATTCCCGGTTATCCCAAAGGAACGGAATCATTCCCGGTTGTCCTGAGGCTTTTCCGCTTTTCCGTGCTCGAGAATTTTATCCCGCGGGCTCTGGTTCCAAGGGCTCGATTTCCCTGGAAACCGACACCCGATCCCGCGCTGGGAGCGGGGTCGGGATTGCCCCGGGATTTCCCAGGATTTGGGGGCGATGGTTGACCTGGGAACTCTGCCCAGGGCTGGGTTGGAATTCAGGAATTCAGCTCCGCAGGGAGCCCCGGGAGCAGCTCCTGGGGGATGATCCCAATCCCGAACATTCCCGATCCCAAATGTCCCGATCCCAAATGGAAATCCCTCTCCCAAGCCTTTTCCTAGGGGAATGATCCCATGCCCGACCCTTTTTCCGGGTGAAAATTCCCATTTTTCCAGCTGTAATTCCCTCTCCCCCCTCGATCTCCGCCCCTGCCCGGTTTCGGGTTCCCAGGAAAACGGGAAAAACTGGAAAATCCGGAAAAGCCGCTCCCGGTTTTTGGGCGCGGCTCCAAATCCCCGGACTTCGGCCCCAAACAACGCCCGGGGGAGGAGCCGAGAGTGGAATTTTGGGAGAGATTAAAAAAAATCCCCCTGGAGGCAAAAAAAACCTGGGATGGTTTGGGATAATTAATTTGGGATGGTTTGGGATAATTAATTTGGAATAATTTGGGATAATTTGAGATAATTTATGATCATTTAGGATCACTTGGGATAATTCATTTGGGATCATTTGAGATAATTCAGGAATTCTTTGGGATTATTTGGAACTCAATTTGGGCCCCAGGGACTCGGGAATGGGGCAGAATTTTGGGAAAATGAAGCAGAATTTTGGGAAAACCTCTCTGGGGCTATTCTAAGTATTGGGAAGATCCCAACCCAGCAATTTTGGGAATACTTTGGGAAAATTTGGGATTTTTTTCCTTCCTTTCCCACCATTGACCAGCTGGATTTTTCCCTCCCTTTCTCCATTCTCAAAATCCCAAATTCCCTTTTCCTCCTTCAGGAAGAGGGGAAAAAGCCCTGGAAAAGGAACTCCAGTTTTATTTTTTTCCCCCAGATTTTCCGGCCA